TTTTCCGAAAAGCCGTCGCACTCTCTTCTACTCCCCCCCCCCCCCGCTCCCGTGGCTTACGTAATTTCTCTCAAGTGTGACTACTTGCGTAGAGTTTTCTCTGTTTATGATTTACTCTCTTGGCAAACGAAACAGCGGCGAAAGCACAAACGTCGTTGGCTTTCGGAGATTAGCTACTGCGCTGATTACGACGTTGCTTGTGAGAGAATTCCCGCGGTGAAATCGCGCCTGAAGCAGGCAATGATTGCGTTGTGTGTGCAATTAGCACATACATTACACATACTATGTGTTGTCACTTGAAAAGCTTCCGACTCGATCGTGACATCGCCCTCGGAAATCTAGTGGGGGGGGGGGAGGGGCAGACAATTAGACGGTGATTGTCGCTCTGTGATGGTTTATGCGCACATCAGAAGGGTAGCTTCCCGAGGCTTTGAGAGGTTACCGACTATGGGTAATTAGGAGGCGCGCATTTAGGTTACTTGATGAGTTAAGTGGGATTGGAAGTGACTAGTATGGGCTGTGCAGGATAAATTCTTGCCCATTGGTGGGTAGAATAAATTCCTTCTTCATGAAAAATTCGTAGCAATCAAAAATTTTGTAGCAATTATACCTAAGTCGTACATAGCCTACCCAAGGGGCACATCCTACTACGGGGCCTAAATCACCCATTCAGACCGTACAATCTGGTGGAGCGGCGCCAAGGTATATTATCCCCTTTTGAAATGAGATATCCTATGGACTATACGCTTCCTTCTCAGCTTTTCCCCCTTTTTTCCCTTACTTTCACTTCTTACGCGACTTGTACATAGTAAAGCTCTACACATAACTAGCCCAGCGCTCCACCCCAACCGTCCCAAAAAAAACGACTGGACCAAAACTAGTCCCCTCAAGCTTATAGAAGTGGAAATGAGCGGAACATCATTTGCGATAGTAGAAGTAGTTACGCAGGGAAAAACTACGCTGAGACAAACCTTAGAAACCGGAAGCTGCGGGAACTATCCAACTTGTGGATTTATCCATCAGCTTTGCGGAAGTTTCTGGTTTGAAATGGGGTGTGGATGTGATAGGAAGTGTGAAATTGGAAAGAAATATGAATAAGCTGAGAACTAGAAGCTTCAAGTTGATTGAATTGTTCTTTTTTGTATGTTGATAAGTATCGGAACTGGATCAAATTCTTCACTATTCACACTTTTTCGTCGTTTTTATCTCAGTGGGTAAACAGATCTGTGATTTGCCCATTTTTGGAGAATGTACTAGGAAATGGTCAAACCCTCTAATGTGCAGATCTACTTCCTATTGACGGTTCCAGAATTTCCATGGGGATGCTTTCAAAATTCTTGCGAGCCTGTAATCTCAGGATCTAAAAGAAGGGGGAGTGGGAAGGGGGGGGGGGGAGTGGCAGTTACGTCCCGAGAAAATTATTTTACAGGGCTAATTTGAATTTTTGATATCTCAGAAGTTATCCAAATTATTTACAAGTTGGAACAAATAATTTGCACATTTTTGAAATTTATGTAACTTTAAAAAATTCCGGGACCCATTCTCTCGGGTCTTCGGGACCGCCGCTGCTACTTCTTGCAGAATACTGTTCTTTGTGATAAATCAACCTGGGAGAACCCTTGCAAACCCTTCTTCTACTAAGAGAAATGGGGCAAGGGGAAATGAAAGGTCTCAACTATGCTTATCCCATCAGAATTCGTCAGAGTCGGTGAACCGGTCTGAGGCAAATTACGCTTATAATGACTTAAGATGTCATATTTGAAATTTTACCAGGCTTACCGCAGCCATTGGTATGAAGATAAGAAGAATGGAGGAGGTGGTGTGGGGCGGGTAGTGTTTTTTTTTTGAAGAATTTTGGAGTCTCTCTTTTTCGTGATTATTACTGCACCCCAGTGGGTACCCAGGATTTAGGCTCGGGAGGGAGGGGGGAGGGGGGGGAGAGGGGGGGGGGGCGCCCCTCAATACGCCACTGCTGCATCCATATAAACATTCTACTCAATCCAAAAAGTTCTTCACCAAACCAATTCATAATTTATCTAGCCGAACTACTCGACGGTGGGCGAATTCGGGGTTCCGAAGTTTTTGCTGAAGTAATTGCTTACTATTCTGCTGCACAAACTTGTCCCCTCTACCCAGCAGTCACCAAGTTTTAAAGTTGTCGCTTTATCTGAAGCTGTTGTTTTTGTCTTGGAAGTGCACAGATCTATTTTTGCTGCGAAACCGGTTACATAAGCCCCCTATCGTTCCGTGCTGGCTTTAAGCCAAGATTAACCTTGTCAACTTCCTCAGCCTCTCAAAGAAACGGAAGACGCACAGCTGAGAGCATAGCAGCAGCTCATTACCTCATCGGGGGCAATTAGTCACTGCATGTGGGCGAAGGGGAAGTTTGCGCTCTCCAAGAAGTCCGCGCAAGTCGGCAGCATCAAACGCAGTGTTTGACTCGCGGATTATCCCTGCTTCGGGACTACTCAGACCGCACTTGAGGGTGCCATCTACAAGAGCCTATGCCAGCCTGAAACCTTGCCGACAGCGGATGAGATCTAGGGTAAGCTGCTCTAGCAAACACCCATGAGGCCTTGTAAGGCGATCGAGGGCTACACCCCGTCTGTCACATCATTTGTAGCGCGTGGGGATTTTTTTGAGTCGAGGAAAAAAGTGCAGTGTGTATATGGGTAGCCCAGCACCAATCACGAAGTTGTTTGTATGCGGGAGTGTGAAATCTGATCCCCCTTCTTCCCGAGTAGCGCATGTTTTTATCTAGTAATCAGATCCCGTTAGTGTACTTACAGTGTACTTCTGCTGGAGTGGCGGAAGGACTGTACAACCCCGGCGGCCTGGGATGTTTACCCTGTAGCTTCGGGTGGGGTTTCGCTTCTGAATGGAATCTGCCCGGCTTTGTTTGCTTCTTCTCAAATGCAACCTAGCGCATCCGAACTAATGTTGGGCACACGCCAGCGAACCGAGTCTGAGAGCGCGTAATGTCCAATGTGGTCGGGCCGGCTTTGTTATGGAAATTGCAGGTGTCGCCTGACGGAGTGAGAAGGCGCACTTTTACGATTTCCTACAAGATTTGGGCATATGGAGGGGGGGAGGGAGGGGAGGAGGAGAAGTACAGGGGGAAAAGGTGAAAGGATGAGAAGGATTGAGTGCCGTGGTTGGAGTTGTGCATCTCTACATAAAGCTGCTTGCACATGCCCAATAAATCAAAACTCAAGAAACGAAAACTGGTCTCCGAGCTCCACCGACCTGTGACCCTTGTGAGAGAACTGATCTGTATCAGTTGGGTGGACGGTTCAAAGTCAAACTTTACCGGGTGCGAAGTGAAGCGCAAAGAATCAAAGCTCATAAAAACGAGGAGTGGTCCCTGACTCATAAGAAAGCGGAAATAGCGGTCGGTGTATTTCTCCCGAGAAATTGCCCTTTTCAGTCGCATGCAGTGCCATGAAAATCAATCTGCAAAAGCCTCTCTTTTTGCAAAAAATTTTTCCATGATCAATGGCTACACAAAGTATTTAATAGGATGGATGGTCATACCTGAATTTCATCCTACCCCATGTCAAGCGCAAAACATTGATATCTGAAAAAACGAGAACTGGTCCTCAGGTCTTTGTTCGCAAAGCGCATGTTTCGTTTCAATATTTATCTATCCTTTATCTCTCCTTTTGTCATTTATTCTTATTCTCGTATCCATTACCCGAGAAATCAATCTTGTCCTTCGCCCTGGCAAAGAGCCATAAATCAACTTCGGATTACCATGTATGTGTACGCTACTTGATTAACGGGTTCTCTATCCATGCAAGACGGGGGCAATAACAGTAAGGTATATTGAGGACCCGGAAAAACCCTACGGGAACAAAACACGATAAAGTTCGTGCCCCCACCCCAAATCGTAAAGTATTGGTTTTACCTTCCACCTGAAAGTCAAGTGAAAGTGAGCCTATTGAGCTACTTCACGGCTGCAAATGTTATGCTATATTGCATCGATGTTACGTACACAATCGGGTAAGCGACGGGGGGGGGAGGCACAGGGCTGAAACGCGGAACGGAAGAAGATACGGGCGATGAGCGCTTTTGCCCGTTTGTGCAAATAGAAACACACTTGGTCAACAAGCTGGTATGTACGACCTGACTGTGCTCTCTCTATATGTGATATATATGAGGACACGTAATAATGGAGGGGGGAGAGCGGGAGGGGGAGGGAATGAGGAGAAGGAAGTGGATGTCGAAACAGAGCTTAGAAGACAAAGAAGGGGAAAGGTAAAAGGGTGGGGGAAGAGAAAGAAGGGATTTTGGCAGATTTGGATTTTCAGCCTTTGAAATCTGAATAGAAAGTTTGAGAAAACATTTTCAGCATAAAGCATTTCTGCAATATTCAGTTTTGCTATATTTTTTCTGAAATATTTTTATGTGCAATAATCATTCAGTTTTACCAATACTCACTGTTTTCTAGCTTCTCCTGAGATCTGGTGTTCGCGGGCTATTTTACCATTACAAGCGAGCGCCCGATCGGGTGATCAGATTAGAAATAGGATTTCGCATGGGATTCTTGGAACGCTTAAGAATAAAATGGTTTCCTAGAAAATAATTCTTTTCGAAATTAGCTAACAAGCTCCCGATCGGGTGATAAGATAAAGAGTAGGATGTCTTATGGGATTTTTAGAAGGCGATCTTTTCATAGCATAGGCTAACAAGCGCCTGATCGGGTTATTAGGTAAGGAGTAGGAATCGCGTGGGATTTTCAAAAGGGACAAACTACGAAAAATGATTTCTTCTTGAAAGTTCTTTTCACAGCTTAGGCTAACAAGCGCCCGGTCGGGCGGTGAAGTAAATGTCGATATGATATATCGCATGAGAATTTGATAAAGGGAAAAAACCATTTTCCAAATGATTCTTCACTACAAAGTTTCTTTTTCTTCCCCTCCCAAACCTAGCTTTTTCTACTTTATTTACCGAATTTGTCAAAATCTCTTTTTTCATGTTCTAATTTCCACCTTTTCCAGGTTCCATCGTAGTTTGCGAAGGAGGCACAGCCGAACTTTCGTGCCCCCGTGGTACGGTGATCGCAATAGCCCTAGCCAACTATGGTCGGTACTCGGCTCGAGTCTGTTATGAGAACGAAGACCTCGACGATGTCGTGCCGATGACGCAATGTCACAACCCGAAGACGATGCCGACTCTGCGGAAGAGGTCAGTTCTAGTCGCCATCGCTTCCACTTCGAACAATTAGACCTGAGCGGGCAATTCACACCCCAAAGGGCACAATTTGCAAATCAGCCGCTTGTGCAACGCGCCAGAGTAATGAATATTTCACCTATGACGGGGAAAGGGTTGTATGCGGGGCTTGTGTACGTACATTTAATGTGCACTTCACTCGGCTTCGATTGTGCATAATGAAGCCGAGAGGGCTAGGAGAGAGCGGCATGAACACACATTTGAAGGGCAGGTTTTATGTTCTCTGAGCTAAGAGATAGCGCCGTGCCTAGGCCATTTATGGCAGTTGAGACATAAGCCGTGTGCGAGTCCTGCCGGAGTTTACGACTGTATAGTGATGACTCGTCCGAGAGGCATGCTCCGACGAGCTCTGATGTTTAGTCAGTGCCGCTATCTCAGCTTTTACCAGCGGTGTTTGGACGAGTTGCGAGAAAAAAGTGCTTTCACTAATTTCTCACTTTCGTGTGTGATGACAGATGGCGTTTTTGCCACCAAGGCCTTGAGATCTTGAGATTGGCGAAGGATTAGAGATTTGCTTGGCGCCGTTGGGACACATACGGCGGCCTTGTTGGAAAAAGAACCACCAGTGGAGGTACTAATGAGGTGAAACTAATGACACTAATAGGGCTGCAACGGGAATAAGTTTTGGGGTGTTTTGCCTAGCAGTTTTGACGCCCGCATAACTGAAGAATTCCCCGAAAGCTGCAGTCAAATGGACCACTTGGATTCTAAGAAGACTTGCCTCACAGAAATCAATTTCCCAATTTCTGACCGGGCGCTATTTTACTGTTGTAAGGCGCCCGATCAGGCGACTATGTAAAGATTAGGCTGTTGCATGAATGCTTCTGAAGGCTTGAATGAAAGCGAATATTTTTTCCGCAAAGAACTTCATCATAACATAAACTGATATTGACACAAGTTTTTCGTTCCTTCCTTTTTTGACCCAAATGTGACGATATATACTCATGTTTACCGATTTTTTGTCAGAGTATCATCCTTTTCCTAATTTCTCCATTTCGGAAAACTTGAATGCCTTGTAGGGCACCCGGTGGAGGTTTTCTTAGTTCCAACAAGTACCCTATCATCACTTCCAAAAAGTACCCGATTATCACCTGTGCTTTTAACATTACCAACTTCATGTTACTCGTCCTAAAAAGACCAAACTCGTTTTCAAATGCTCGACCAGTCATCTGTCTGCATTTTTGTCTCTCTTCCTTATGTCGGACTGATTCAGAAAAATGAATGCATGCTCATGCATCTTATGTAAATGAAGCCGCCTTCAGCACCAAGGGTTTTGGGTAGCGTTTAATCCCGTTGGGGGCTCTTTTCGCGCATCTTACATATGCAGAGAGCGTACACATCAAAGGTGCGACCGGGATGAGGGAGGGAGGGGGGGGGGGGGAGGTGGAGAGACAGATGGTACGGGGTTCTTTAGGGAGTGTTGAGGTGGTAAAGCTTTTTTCGAATTCTGAGGAGCCCAGGGTTAGAGAACAATTCATGAAGGTTGTTGTAGTAAGAGGAATAGTCAGTTGTTGTATACGGTATTTAGGCCCTTTTTGCACCGCAATCCTTTTCTAGCTTGTTATGTATACAGTCCGGTTACGGTAGCTGTATCCGCCTGAATGGTCTCATAGCTTCATGTTCATACGTATTCGTGATGGTTCAACACCCTGAATGGTCATTCTTCCCCTCCTCCCGCAACCATTTATCCTTCTACATGTTTTTTTCCCGCCTAAAACCAACAATTTCCGCATGAAGGATTACGGTAGGCGCGAAAGGGACAAAAATGTCACCCTGGCGCGTATGTTGGTGGGGGTGTGTTTAGTTGTATTCGTGTGCAATTGCAAATCTAATTTCAGGGTTGATTCGAAGGTTAGACAAGGTCACATTCGTTTCTCGCGCATATGTGAGTGCACATGACTGCGAGAATTTATTGCTATGTTTCGGGGCGCAGAAAATTTGTTCGGGCGTAATTTTCAATGGACAATGGGGCACACAATATGTGGGAAAGTCAGCTGAACTAGAATTTTCGGCTTGATTTTTTGCTAGTTCAGCGCTAGGCAAATGCTATTTCTGCAGTCTGCGGGTTACTTGTACTTTCTTCTTCCCTCCTTACCCCTCCGAGAGGCGTCAGGGTTTGTTTTCGACTCCTTCGGTCCCAAATAAGGAAACCTGATATTTTTTATGGAAGCACTTTGGTTGACGAACCTTGACCAATCTGAAATAGGATCTTTTTGCCCTTACAAGCCTGCTTTTGGACTTTCCCAACGCAATGACTTTCCCGGAATACTTTATCTGTTCATTGGCCTTTGTCAGAGTTCTTTTCTCTCACCCGATAGGAATAAATCGAAGGAAAATCAAAAAAAATTCAAAGAAGCTCGGTGAGAGTAACCGAATGAGGGAATTGAGAAATTCATATTCTTTGATTTTTTGTTTTTGCTACAAAATTGCAAATTTGACAGAATGACTCCAACGAGAAAAGACTTTATTTTTTAGTGCCTACTATAAGGCTTATTAACGTCGAAAATGATCCCCTTTTGAAGCCAGTGAGCCTAAGATAGCTGGTCACAACCTAGAAATAGGAATATTTTTAAAGTGCATCAAAGTATACAAAATGAAGACAAGAAAACAAGCGGAAAACATCGAGAGCAGGAAATTCTCATTATGAAAAAATGGAGTTATTTTCTAGAATTTTTGCTGAAATTCCCCTAACTAGGTCTTTTTTCATGGTCCATTGCGCTCTTGTGGTATCCTCTCAGCTAACCTTCAAGAATAGCATACCTAAGAAAAACTCTAGCCGCCTTAGCTATTGTTGTCGGAGTTACTCCTCTGTGCAGTGACCTGATTATGAGTCCATTCACCACAAACAATGCCCGAAGAACTTCTCGTGTGCGGCCACAGTTTGTCGGGCGGCGCGCCTTTTTGGCCACTCAACAGGGCGCATCTTCCGCCTCGCAAGTTGCCCGGCTGACATCTGAGACCTTCGACTTGGCTCGTGGTCAGTCGGCAAAGGTGCCAATTTCACATTCGGGCTGTGTTGTCATTGCTTTGCGCACGCGCACACACAAGCGCACGTCTTCATACCGTTCTTTCGATTGTGCAGTGTGCAATTACGGACAAAAACGTGGAATTAGTACTTTGTCTGGAGGATTGCCATTGTTAGTGGATCGACGTTGAACAAGGAAATTCGAGGACATCCAATTTTCTAGAAAGGATTTTTTTGAGATAGACGAGCAGCGGCTAGGCAGAATTACTCGAACGATCGAGAGCCTAGGTAATTTGGAAAAATGAAGGAGAGGGGGGGGGAAGCTTGGAGATAGCAGACAGGCCTTCGGTCAAAAACCTTCTCAGTTTACTGCCCAAACCTCTCGTCGCTACTTTCATGAGCTTCTTGAAGCAGGAAAATTTATGAAATTTTGTTTTTTCTGCAAAAGCACCAACTACAGTTTAAAAAACGACTCCTCTTTTTTCTCTTAACTGTACAACTGATTGACTGTCGCCGGACTGTGTAGCCAGCTGAGGAGGCAGATGGTCTAATGTTTTTGTGCGCAGACCGATTCGACTTCTTTGTTTGGACAGCTCTCACATGCTACGCTGGAATTTTGATATTACGGAACATGTAAAGCTTAGCGGAGGAAAGGGGAGACATGTGTAGGGGATGGGAGGGGAAAGAGAAAAGTCTCGGGGTACTTTGTTGCATTAATTGCTAATATAGTCTTGGTTTATGTGGAGGTGTAGAGAGTTGGGGTCTCCCAAAATGAAGTCTGCTTGAGAAGGTCTTGAGAAGATGATTATTAGCGAACTTCGAATATCGACTATAACATTCCTGGGCTCGTTCTTTAAAAGAACCAGCTATTTTTTGAGACTGAAATTTCCTACTCTACCCTACTTTTTAAATTTTATCATCTATCAGACTTATAGGTGGTGTCGCAAAGCCAGTCGTCCCAATTGAAGGAATATTTCTGATAAGCATATGGGGTGTAAGATCAAGCTAGTAGTTGAAAAGGAAATTATTTACTCTGTAAAGACCTCTTCTAAATGACGTACTTTCATCGCTTTCAAACAATTAGTGAATTTTTCACTATTCTTGTCTTGTGGGTGTAAATTTGCCCGGGCCTGACCTTAGCCAGACCGCTGACCACCTGGTTTTGGTGTACATTTGTCACCAAATGCCTGTCCGTCCATTTGCTCATTCAGTACACACATGACTGCTCTGGCAGTAACCTACAATCAGCGAGCTGTTTTCTCGACAAGCTGTCTTTTGCGCAGCGTTGACCATCAGCCCGGCACTCTATCTCGTTAATTGCTTCGCGCATTAGCTCAGTCAACTCTGCAATTACAAACCTCCCCATCCCAGGGTGTTGAACCCGACCAACTGCACACTAATGGGGTTAAGTGAAGATGCTTCCGGGCGGAAGCATAATGGACGCGGGGGGGGGGCAGGGATTTTGAGCGGTTTGGGTTGGAAGATTTTATCTGGTAGCTCGAAAAAGGTGCAGTATATTCTGGTCAGTAGTTCGACCTAAATGACGAAAAAATGAGATATTGTTAAAACTCTAAGTTGGGTTCATATATGTTGGAAAAAATTAAAATTAAATTTGTAAGTTTGTATGCTATTACACAAGACACGCGCTACTTCACTTTTTCCAAAATTAGAAGCTGTTGGTTTTTAGGAATTTCTCATTCTTTTCTTGTTTTTCAAAGTCTAATTGGATAAATGTTAAGTATTTTTTCACGTTTCGACGTCTATGTGTTCTACTGACAAATTGCTAGTAGAAAGTCGTGAGTTATCGCGCGCTATGTGCAGACACACACAAATTATAGTTTATGGCTTATTCTTATGTAGATTTTTTGGCGTTTTTTACGGTATCTGGTACAATAGGATATTTTACGTACTGGTATTTTTTATGCGTAGAGCTCACTGAGGTTTAGCAAATAACGTAACATCCAGTTGGGCTATTTCTCCCGATTGGAGAGGATTCATTCAGATTTTTCATTTGCTTCTTTTACGACGAAAATCTATCCAGTGATGTCCGCTACTCATCTAGAGCTCTTTCAATTTTGCAGCTTTGCAGCGAGTATCCTATAGAACTTTTACATAAGAGACGAAGTTTTTTTTTCAGTACGCAGAAACCAATTATGCAGGCTCTTTTGTGTTTTCCTCAAAGCTTCCCGTGACAAGGATGCACTTTGCGGAAATAACTAATTCAAAGTGCATTTCATACTTTGTATCGAGAATATTGGACATCGTAGATGAGGGGAGTACAACCAGCCGGCCGGCGCTCATGTTAGTCTTCAACTTGAAGGTCATCTCTTATTGTACGCAGATTAATCGCCGTCAATTATCGCCAACAATACGGTAATAGAAACAAACACACACATTGCGAACATATGGGGGCACTACCAGTAAACAAACTTTGAGCGTGGATCCAATTAGTGTTGGGTAGTAATTACTGTTCAGGGTTACATCCCCAGAGCTTCTTTTGCCCCAGGGAGGGATGGCGATGTTTACCATAACGCTTCAATGACTGGACATGTTGTAAACATTACCAAAATTAGCTACCAGGTGGCTGCACGAGTGCAACTCAAACATGCATGGATGGCTAAGCAGCTGCTTGTCTGCAGCCAGTGTTGCCTCGATTTTTTGCTGCTCCTGTGCGTGGATTTAGCCGAGTGGCGGGAATTCTGGCGGCTGCACGGCTGACCGATGCCGTGCTTAGTGAGGCGTGTGCCACTTTCGCTGAATCTTAGTCGGTACCCTTGAAAGGCCAGAAGGCCGGGATTTACGTGCTGCTGACGGCGGCAAGTCGCCGTTCCGCTGACCCCATCACTCAAAATCCCGCCGGTGGCATTTGGAGTCTCGACCGAACCCCTTTAATATGGCTCGAGTGCTCAAAAGAGCATGCTCGGCTATTAATCATGCCTAGGTGAAGGGCAAAAGGATTGGCCTGACAGAGCCATTTGATGCGGTAAAGAACTCCGAAGAGGCCAAAAAAAGCGTTGGGTAACGCTTACCCATGATGAAAGTGCTCAGAATTATTATTGCAATCCGAACTTGGCTGGCTTAGGGGCTATGTGCAACCTAGGTTCTATAATTTTTCAATTAATTAAAATTACAGGTACATATGCAATTCACTTAACCTCAGCAACAGTAACCCCATATCCACCTTTGTCACCTGCTTATTTCGGGCAATCAAATTTTGGGAGCAAATCAATAACCTATCTCAGGTTTTGTTACTTTTTTTGAATAGGGGAACTAAGACAGAACAGGGGAAGAAAGGGTGAAGTGATTTGTTTCCTTTCTTCCCAAAATAACAATCCTTTCGTTTATTCTAGTTTTTCTGAGCTAATCCCATTGTCCTCAAACATATGCGGATATTGGGCAAAGAACTTAGCATGACTTGAGTAAATAGCAAAAAAGTTGAGAAACACTGAAATCTAGATGTGCTAGTGTAAAGAGCTGAAGCCTAGTTAATCTGAGAAACAAATAAGCGGATGAGCTGACAAAAAGTTTGTTCTTTGAATGAACACAACATTATTGAGGTTTCTTCAAATAATGTTTGTTTGGCTCAGGGAAGAAAGTGGGATGGAAGGACGGGGGTGGGGGTTTGGGGGAATGACAAAATGAGATTCCAGCATTTATACTAGTAGTTGGGATATTTTTATGTAAGTAAAAAGCTTTCGTAATTTCTGTTTTTTTTTTGATGCTTCATCTTATATTACAAATGGGGCACAGTAAAAAAAATTTGAAACTATATCAGCAGTTTTGTTTATTCTCATAGATTCTTCTACTGAATTGCACTATTCGATTTTTTCCTGCATTTGCAAGTATTTTTGTGAGATTTTTGAAAACTGGGTTAAAAAGTTTTTCAAATTTTCATTTCCTGTAAATGAAATACACTACGAATAAACATAGAAGATACTGAATCTTTATTTTGCCAAGTTTAGATGTGAAGGCTTGCGGCGTTGCGAGTTTATGGTCGACGCGATTATGTTCGATGATCCTTGCCCAGAGACCAGTAAATATCTTGAAGCGACGTATTTCTGCACCCAAGGTGCTTAAAATTGCTCTTATATGCGTTATGGCTTCTATTGAGTTTGCCTTGCGTTGCGGCTTTGCATTGCGTTGCGTGCTGTGCGTTGTAGTGATGTGCCAGGGATGGAAACAGATTTTGGAATTCGAGAAGTCATCTGATCTTCGCTGCCTATTGTTTGTTGTGTTCTAGTTGTGATGGTCGTCGTCAGTGTCGTTTTATCGTCAATAACGATTTCTTCATCCATGATCCATGTCCGGGAACGAAAAAATACTTGGATGTCACCTATACTTGTGCTATAGAGGGTAAGATGCTTGTTTGCTGTTGTTATGCTGTGATTGGTTGGCTGCTTGATCTGCACTGCTGTGATTGGCTGACTTCCATATCGCGATACGGTATATTACAGTAACCACAACTACAACTACAACTACAACCACTACAACAACTACGACATCGTCGACAACTACAGAAATCGATGATGACGTCAAGAGGGAGTGAGTGGTTTTGATCTACTGTCACCTACGCCATAAATCGATTTTCATCTATAGCATGGGCGCACAGTCCGCTCCACAAACATGCGAGAAGACGTCTAGACGAGGTATCGAATGGCCGGCTACCATCTCTGGAACGACAGCCAGCCGACCGTGTCCGGAAGGAACAAGGGGTATGCGAAAAATTTTGTGGTTTTGTCCCCTTTTTTCAATCAAATCGCAGCGAATCCAAAAATTTTCTCAAGTATCGTAAGTCCGAAATATTTTCTCAAGTATAGACGAGTCAGCGCACGCAGCCACTAGTCGCAATTGCAGTCTGACTAAGACAGTACGTGTGTGGAAGAGGCAGCAGACGGTAAGAGAGGCAAAAATGCTTTTGATGCGAACGCTTACAGCGTTGGCAATTCACCTTGTCTCCGCGTGCGATGACTCTCCTATACTTCGCAAATCTGCATTTGCACATTTTGAGCATATTTTGCAAATTTTTCTTCTCGCTTCCGGGGCGCAAAGCAATTTTCTATCGCTCATGGCTTTTATGTATTTTTAGGTACGTCATCGTGGCGATGCAACAGTGACGGACTATGGTCTGAAGATGGTCCCAACACGATGGAATGCCAAAGTGATTGGACCATTCAACGACAAGATGCATTAGAAGAAACTATCAAAGACCAAGATGCAAGTGGAATACCAGAGGTGAGCAGTTTGCATCTTTCGTTTTTGGACTAGAAGAGTACACCTCTTTTCCAGCTCCTTCGCGCTATGACATCGGATACCCGTCGTCCAATGGTGGCTGGCGATTTGCCAAAACTTCTTAACATCTTGGATGTCGTCCAAGATATCGTAACGCGCGAGCCATGGGCTAAAAGCAGTCAAAAACTCGTGAACCAGGTAAGCCATTCGGCTTTTTATGGCCCACTCTTGTCTCCAGTGTGTCGACTCCAAATTGCTTCTGCAGCTCATCGTCAACGTCGTTCACAATGCGCTTCGTGCGAAGGAAATGTGGCGTAACTGGCCGTTGAAGAAACGACAAACGTTCGCCACGAGACTATTAGCCGGTGTTGAACGAACCATGACATCCGGATCGTTTATAGTACATTCGTCGGAGAACTACGTTCAACCACTGGTAATGACCGAAATGAGCGAAAGTATCAAGGTGAGGCCGATTACCGAATTTCTGCATGCACGGGATGAAACGGGGATTTTAGTGGAATTTTCAGACATCATCGCAGCCGTCAAACTACTATCTGTTCCCATCGATGGCACTTTGGGCTGGAGAGAACAATGTGGACAGTGTTGACATACCCAAAGAAGCATTGGAACTCGCTGGTTTGGGTAAGTTTTCGCGATTTCACAGTGGGCGAAAAGCTCAAACTTCTGCAATATTCTCTGTTCTTTGTAAAAGATGGAGGGACAATGTCTTCTTGCAACTGTGCCTATTCAATCTGTTCTGAAGTCCAGGATTTTTTGATGAAATTTTTTTGTAATAGAATGTAAAATTTAGAAAATTACTGAGCATTTCTAGTCAAAATGTTACGGTACTCGATGGAAGGTAACACGGTAAAGAAAGAAATGTGAACTAGTCTGCTGGTGTTGCTAAGGCATCTGCCTTAGCAACACCAGCAGACTAGTTCACATTTGTTCTTGGGGACCAGTTCTCGGGTATTGTTGAGGTAGTATGGGATCTTTTCAGTGATACTATAAAAAGTGTTATAAGATGATCTTTTTGTTTGGGGTCTAGTTTTCTATTGTTGTAGTGATAACATTTTTTTGGTAATGATGATGCGATTAATGCTTTGGTTTCCATTTGAATGTTTTGGGGCGCGCCAATTGTTTAGCCTTAGGGACCAGTTCTCGTGCTTTTCGTAAAGAATATAACGAACCTTTGTGGTAATGTTGGTATAAGTAATGCTATGTTATGAAGCTTAAATTTTTTGGAGGGAATATTTTGGTTTTTAAGAACCGATTCACGTGTATCACTAGTGAATTGTATTGGGCCCTCTTGGTGATAATGCTTTAGAAAATGCTATGATAAAAGTTTCCACTCTTCTTGGGCTAATAGGTAACACAAAATTTCCGTTATCTAAATTTCGCCTTTTTAGATCGCTCACGAGTTTACTATGCATCCTACGCAAATATTGGTGATGAAATGGAACCACCTGTGGAGCAGATCTCTCCCTCAGAGCAGAATCCAGAAGGAGGAGAACGACGTCGACACATCGTCTCAAGAATTGTGGCCGCATCAGTGGTCATTGACGGTAGATCCGTTAGCATACCATCATTACCGAGACCGGTTAGTTCCAGCGATTTGTTATATTTTCGCAAAATATTGTGGTAAACTTATTCTTCGCGTTTAGATTGTCATTACATTCCATCACCATCCAGAAACATTGCGACGAATGTCCTCCCCACAATGTTCATGGTGGGATATGGAGGACTTGGAAGTAAGTGGTGATCCGATCTTTGCTACTTTGGCACTTGGCATCTTGCCAGAGTTGTAAAATCCCTCTTTTCAGTGGTCACAAACAGGGTGCATGCTCAAGTCGCATAATTCGACTCATACCGTATGCGCTTGTAATCACATGACACACTATGCTGTGCTTATGGACTATGTCGGACATGAGGTGAGGGCCTTCTCTAGTTTTTTGAATTTCGCTTTGTTCCAAGAGCATTTCCAAGAATGTTGTATGGGTCTTAGCTTAAAAATCGGAAAAATGTGCATTGGGAGTGAGAACCAAAAAAGATATGTATAGCAAGTACTCTTTCCAAAGCGGTGCTCAGGCAAATCTAGGTACTAGTACTTGCTACAAATTTTCGTCAAGTACCGTAATCCCGTTCGCTGATTGGTCCATTCGGAGAGTGTACTATACTGGACGATTTAGATTTAAATTCCTCGACCACAAAAATATAATAATACTAACTGTACCTATTTCATCTGTCCAATCAATATCCGAATAAAAAATCCACTAACTTAGATTTGTTTGGTCATTTATCCTTCTAAAAGTTAAACTAGGGAAGAAGAAAGGAAGACTCTTTGGCCTATGAAGTTCCCATGCCAAAACTGAAATGAGTGTAAAATATCAATGGTTAGAATCTAGATTTTCATAGTTTGAGGTGGTGAGGTCAATCTAGATTTTCATAGTTTGAGGTGGTGAGGTCAACAAAAGTGCTTACAATCTTTTTTCAAGCATTACCTTGATATGATCGCTACTATCTCAAATGGTTAAAATTACTTTTCTTCGTAGATTTGTGAAATATAAAAGATCAACTTGCAGATAGGTTATATCCACTACTGGAATATAAAATCAGTAAGGTTTTTCTAGCTTCTACCCAATGAGTTTGACCCCAGCGTATAATCTTGGCTTTTCATCAGCCCTTCTATCAATTTCTTTCAATTTCTGTTCATTAATATTTCACTAAGCCAATATTTGAAGGTTTCGACTATGGACAGTCAACTTCTCACAATTATCACCTATGCCGGCTGTACGCTGTCGATCATTTGCCTCATTGTGACATTCCTTTGCTTCGTAGTTTTCGTCACTGGAGGAGGCGATAGGTAAGTAATTTTTTTACTTCAATTACCAAGTGATCCGTCGTTTGCAAGTTTTTTTCACTGCAAAAATCGGCTTTATAGGGTGTTTATACACAAGAACCTGTGCGCATCGTTATGTATCGCGGAGATTGTGTTTTTGGCTGGAATTTGGAGAACTGAGGAAAAGGTTAGAATTTTTTTGATTCAGCCTCATACGGGAAGTTGGGAGTTCTTTATTTACCAATTTTCAGTTCGAGTGTAGCGTCATTGCCGGCTTTCTTCTGTACTTCTTCCTTTCCGCGCTAACGTGGATGTTGTTGGAAGGTTATCAGCTGTACCACATGCTTGTTGAGGTATTTTATTACTTTCAACATCTTTCACCACTTTTGTTATAAAAAATGTAATCTTTTGAAATATCAGACAAGTTTACTGGAGTATCCGGACTGGTTTTAGCCAAGTCATTGCCCAAGCGGTAGTTCATACAATTTATTCGGAGCAGAGGAGTCCAAATGTAGGCACTCGCCCTGTATCGTAATCTTACTGGTTGTTTAGCTGCTTCTGACAATGAGCACGGTGTACCGAGTGAGAGTTTAGAGTTGAATTTCTCGACACGAATGGGTTTCATGAACTACTGCTTGGGTCATGGCCTGCTTAAGATCTCTCGATCTACCAGGGGTAGTTGAAATTTTTCTGGGGAGGGGACAAAAAATCTTCGTATGGAGGGTGTAGCGCTGACCACTTTTTTTATTTTTTTTATTTTTTTAAAAATGTTTGCTGACCTATCTCTCCGGAAAACTTACACGGCTAGTCAAAAATCTTCGATATTTTTTTCAATTATTTATGATTGCAAACCTCTTGAGGTGCACCAGAATAAAAAAATTAATAAAAGAAGGTCCAAACACATGAAACATTGACTCGTGCAGGCTCCCCCCTGAAAATCCCAATCTTAAACCAATCTCTGAGGAGGGTGCGGGCTGGGCTTACCAAGATAATGGAATTCTCCAGGTTTTTCTAGATTTTGAATCAACGCAAAAAAATCTCAGCACATTCATTGCGCATTTTGAATGTTCTCCGTCTAGGGCCCACGATTTTCAACTTTAAAATGTTTGTCGAAAACCTTATGTAAGTTTCTGCACTCCATTCAGAGCTTAAAAGGCTCAACTGTGATTTTTACATAGTGAAATGGGCCACAAAAGCAGGAATAGATCCAGCTATTGAAAAGTTATTGTGAAGACCTAATGCTGTTAAGTATAGTATGATTTTTTCCAGGTTTTTCCGGCTGCTAGACGCCGTTTAACTTTTTTCCTCATTGGTTATGGAGTGCCAGCACTAATCACTGCAGCTGCTGCATATTACGATCCTACAGGCTTTGGAACTCGTCATCATTGCTGGTCAGTTTAATATTCTTTCTTCTCTTGTTTCAGCGAAACTAAAAATCTAACTTTTAGGCTGAGAACAGATAATCTGTTCATACTATTCTTTGTCGCGCCAGCAGCCATCATCCTCCTAACGAATACAATGTTCTTGTTGATGACAATGTGTATTGTCTATAGGCATTCGAAGTATATACCGTGTAGACATGCTACGGATAATGGCGGAGACATCAGGTAATTTTTGCAATTTTCGGAAAGTTCAGGGCAGTCATGAATTCCAATTTTTCAGAACCTGGGTAAAAGGAGCCATGGGTTTGGTATGTCTTCTCGGCATAACCTGGACATGTGGACTGTTGTGGATTGACGATGGGCATTCGATAGTGATGGCCTATGCTTTCACAATTTTCAACTCCTTGCAGGGCTTATTCATCTTTGTGTTCCACGTAATCTGCTCGGACAAGGTAAGAGCCTCCCCAACTCTTCCCCCTCCAAAAAATCTAATTTTTCCTCTCCAGATGCGTCACGATATGTCTCGTTGGTGTACCAAACGTCACCTACCATGGAGTGCTTCTGGATCTCATGACATCACTAAGGATTCACACAAACGGGGTGCAATGTCACCATCGGATAGAAGTGGAACAGGCAGCGAGTTCATTGTGAGTTACTGTCTTGGTGCTCTAACCAATAGGATGGCTTGGCTACGCCCACATATTGCGCTGACCAATGAGCGGTTCTATTATTTCTTTCTGATTACTTTCCACATAATCGCTAGTGGCTATACTATATATGGTGCTTTATCTTGAAAAACTGAACAAGAGTTACTGATTGCGCATCAGCCAATAAGGTGGCTTGGCTCCGCCCACATAATCACTGGCCAATGAGAGATTCTGCTATCTTTTCTTATTATGTTTCCGCCCAGTTTTTGATGTACTGTACATGGTATTTTAACTCAGAAAAAAGAGCCGCTGTCATTTGAACTAGCCAACAAGATGGCTTGGCTCCGCCCACAATTAACTGGCCAGTGAGCGTTTCTGCTGTCTTTTATTACTGCATTTCCTTCTGGTTGCCAACCTATACTATATTCTTGATATTTCAACTCAGAAAACTACTATGCCTCAAATTCATTTCATTGTTTTTCTTTGTATGTTCTAACTCAATTTCCATCCCTTGATGAAGATCATCACTGTGATTTTCATTTAGGTAAGCAGTGTTAAATTGACCAGTTGGAGCAAAATTTAGTCGGTCCCACCTCGTTTAGGTGAGGCTGGGCGTGTGCGCATCTAGAAAATAGTCATAAATGCTTTGAAAATACTTCTACTTTTACGAAAGCGCGAAATTGATTTTTTTAGTACCCAACCTCGGAAAAATTGCACTCTTCATCAAGAGACATGAATTCTTCCCTGCATTCGCCGTATCCACAACAACCTCTTATCCATCACTACCATCGTAATCCCCAAGCTAATGGTGAGTCTACTAACTGCTTTTGGCATGTGAGTGATTTCTTGACGGAAATATTTCAGGCACGTACGATTATGCGACGATTGCGTATGGCGAAATGATTCCGGGCCACATGCTGCCGCCACGCCTACCCGGTTACCCCCAGGGCGTGGCTATCCACTACCCAAACTCCTACGGCGATATGGAGTCAGTCTATCAGCCTCAGGTCTTCCACCGACCTCCGCCTGACTTCTCCCCTCCACCACCACCGCCACAGGCCCCGGCACAATTTGTCAAAGCTCCGCAATTTGCCCCTGCTCGTCCCCCATCGTCGAAGATGAGCGACGACTCGGCCTACTCGGACGGCGGTTCTTCGTCGGTGCTGACCACCGAAGTGACCCCGTCCGGTGCCACCGTGCTGCGCATGGATTTGGGCCGAAGTCAGCCGAGTTACTGGCCTAGGAATGTTTAAAACAACTGTTTCACATGTACATCTTCTATAGAAACTGTTTTTTGAGGTTGTGTGCTCTTGTCACGCGGTTACTTTTTATTGTGAAGAAATTTGATCCGGGTTATGTGCTGCTAATGATGCAATATATCGCGCTCCATTTATATTTACAACCATTTCCTTGGCATCCAAGGTGCTCATTGTTTTAATGGTATACTGTAACCTGCCGAATGTTAACCTAGGTAAAATTCGTCCGTTACTTCCACCGTCACTTCATCCATGACATCGCCATATCAGCGCGAGCATTTGTTGCTTATAATCTTTCTCTTCTCGAAATATACCGGTTTCTTCGTTCCACATTTTTTTGTTCTCTTGCTTATTGTATAGTGAAGATTGTGTAGGTATACTGTCATGATCTAGTCGTCGAATAGAGCGCAATATGTCCCCCACTTGTTCATCTCTGTTTTTTTGCTGACACTGTCCTGCCTTTGAGTTGATTTTATCAAGTTTGTTTTTCGTAGATTAAGTTCTAATCAGCGTGTATATTCAATACGCAGAAATAGTACATAGATTATCATATTAAGTTGTACATTTACGGAGTAGAAGCTGTCTTTTCTTTCCTATGCTAGAGAAGAATGTTTTCGTTTCATTGAAAATAAACTGAACCAATTGTTAGTCGTACTCTCTGCGAGCAGAACTGTTATCTAAGATTGACAACACAAGCTTTTATCGCGAAAAGAACGTCTTTTTTGAAAGCAAAGAAGAAAATGGCATGGAAGATTCGAGCTGCAGCAGCAGACCTTGTGGCACGTAATGTGCTCTAAAGACGAGAAACCAAAGAACAATTTTTGGTAGTGATAGAATCCGGGTAAGGTGATTCACAACGAGCTGCTTGCACATATAAGGGTGCCTTCATACCGCGCCGGCAGCCGCCGCTGGCAGCCCGTAGCAGCCGCTGGCAGCCCGTAGCAGCCGCTGGCAGCCCGTGGCAGCCGCCAGCAGCCGCCAGCAGCCCGTAGCAGCCCGTAGCCGCCGTTGGCCGCTTTTGTTATAGAGGCGCAAAACCATCAGAATACTACTTTGATTGCTCCTGCTACGCTTTTCGTCTTCCTTGCTTTTTCCTCTGCTGTCGCTAGTAGATATTTTGATATCACACGTCACATTTGTGTCCATTTCATTACCTTACGGTACGGTCATTCTGTTAAACCACAGTTCGCAAAAAGTTTCTGTCCTGGGTGGTTTCCTCTAATTTTGGATGCGTCCAGTTCCTGCAGGTGTACAATTTGTTAATTTTTTGAGTATGCATTTGCTTCAGTCTTCTTCTTGGCTATCGGTGTATATCTGAATTGCATTCTACTATTTCGCAAGCTCGCCGATTGATTCGCTGTATGGGTTCCTCTGATTTTGACAATGGCTCACACGTTTTACACAAGACAGATTGCGTGAATGAAATGTGGGCGCAGATAGGATGCAATGTGCGGCAACAAAACAATGAACACAAATTAATGTGTGTTCTTCTTTTTCATTTCCGAATTATACACTGGCGGCAACAGAAGAAAGAAACGTGGGAGATGGAAAGCGTGGGCGGGTGCACTTAAAGCGGTAAGAATTTGATGATTTTGGCTTCTATGACAAAAGCGGCCAGCGGCGGCTACGGGCTGCTGGCGGCTGCTGGCGGCTGCTACGGGCTGCTACGGGCTGCCGGCGGCTGCCAGCGGCTGCTACGGGCTGCCAACGGCGGCTGCCGGCGCGGTATGAAGGCACCCTAAGGTGGTCCTCATGAAATGTTACAAAAGAATGCCCATAGCTTTGCATAGAAGAATTAAATTGCAAACGATTAATTTTGTCTGGTAGCTATGAAAATTTTGGACAGCTCCAGTTGATCTTGTTTGCAAATGGCCCTTTTGACCTAGATATATTCATCAAATTACTTCATGATATGCGTCATTTTCAGTATGTTGCCTTCAACGAATTTGCCTTATTTGATAAGTTTTTAGGGCAAATCATGCACATTCTAACAGCTTCTAAATGAAAAAGAAATTTTGTTCTCTTATAGATCGTGGTATTTAAACAAAAAACTTGAATTTTGCATTTTTCCAAAAAGCTCTTCAACATTACCCTCCATCTTCGGAAGGAAAACAGGAGAATGACAACCATGGAGACAACGATTCATTGTAGAAAAAAAAGGATAATGAAAGGTTGAAAGACGATTTTTTTGAAAACCCGTGACACTTCATATGAGTGATGTCGAGGAAACGCCACATTCCATTTCATCTCTTATACAACTCAACAATTTATCATAAAATCACGTCTTTTCACTTGCATTTATGAGTGAAAAATCCGCAATTTTCAAGAGGATATTATGACAGGCGGGAAATTCTGAAATGCCATAAGCTAATTAGCAACTTGTATCTAAGAATCTACCCATAAAATTGCGGGCTTGGCTGTTGTCATAAACGTGAGTTTTCCTTTCTGTCAACGGCCTAATACCCGACCGAATTCAATGGTGAACACTTGATTGCATCTGGAGCGCAAAAATGTCTCAAATAATCGGTGGTCGAAATTTTTACTTTTGAGGAGAATCAGCAAAAATGCACAGATGTATTATGCAGCAAGCAGAAAGATTAATATTTTTTCTACCTTCAGCTTATAAAGCTAAAGGTAAACATCCTATTATCTCCTGGCCTCGGCTAATACGATTTCTTGAATGCGACAGCTTACTGTTCTGCTGTTATTTAAGGATAGAGACACTAGAATTTTGCGCTTCATTGCTATGATATAGTGATCAAAAGCTATTATTGAAAACTTACATGTGTTGAACGCCTAGGTAATTCGTTAGCTGCTCGAGCTGGAAAGTCATCATTGTTGAGCTTTGACTCAGTCATTGTAGCTATCATGACAACGAATCGACACGCCACGTTTATATCGCGTTGATTTGAATGTTCTGGAGAAGTCACAAAAACCCTATCAAGCAAAGCACCTCATAGCATAGTTATTGTTACAAGATAAGCTGTCGCAAGAAAGTTCTTTCCTTTAAGGGAAAAAGAGTTCTCTGAACACGGTGCCATACATTTGAAAAGCAATGTACTCTGGTGACATTCACTTAGAGCGACATAAGAAATCACAATTCACCAGAAAAAGAAACAGGCGAGGTGAAGTTCTGGAGTTAGATCGAAACTAAATCGAAAGTAGGTAAAGCAACTAAAGCGAGTAATACCTCAAAACATCCCAGCAAAATCGGAAAATGTTTTGAACTTTACGCAAAAAATTGCGCACGAAAGTGCTGCCTTATCTGGTTACAGGCAGCGTACACCCAAAATCTAACAATAAGTACCCAGTTCTCTATACGGTAAATGTAGAGCCCAGAAGAAGACCAACTGCGTTGGCCCGGTCTCCCAGTGTTGGCCTTAAAGGCAGCGACACCGAAAATTTCGCCTTCGACGTTTTTGTCATTCTGGGGCCTTTCTCGCGCCTCTGATTACAGTTATGACATTAAAGATCTCCAAAACCACAAAAAACGGCGACCCCCTCTTCGAAGAGAGGACGAGTTTCGAATTACTCGATTCCGTCGGCATGCCAGCGAGGAGCAGCTGCAACTGCAGCATATGCTGCCGTGGATTCGTCGTCCGAATGAAGCGGACCGCAAAAGGCAACTGCACTGTTGCAGCTGCAGTTGCAATTGCAACAGCAGGTGAACTGAACTGCACAGTGCAGTTGCAGTTCACTTCACCTGCCGTTGCAATTGCAACTCAGCTGCAACAGTGCAGTTGCCTTTTGCGGTCCGCCTCCTTCGGACGACGAATCCACGACAGCATACGCTGGAGTTGCAGCTGCAACTGCAGCTTACGCCGACCTGGATTTCGTCCGAAGGACGCAGTTTGAAAGAAAAGGGACGGAATGAAAGAAAAATCAGGCGAGTTTTCTCCGCTCAGAAGCAACATTGGGAGACCGAACCAAAGTAGTTGGTCTTTTTCTGGGCCCTAGATATAAATGGCATAGAGAATTGGTTGATTAAGATTTTGGGTGTACGCTGCCTTCGACACTCAGCTCTGTCACTTCCAGTGTCAATACTATCATACGTAAGGGAAGAATCCAAGTACAGATGACCAGAAGATGCGGTTGGCGGGAGTGCGTGCGTGTGCGCGGCCACCTCACGATTTTTCGGATGGCCTACATGTAGCTCTTGGTGTCTACTTTCTAGCTGGCAAAGTAGCAAAACCCTTGATGGGACGAGAAATCTGGCAAAATCGTGTTTTAGAATTTATTTATTTATTTCTTGAAGAAAAACAAGAGATTAGAATCTCTTGTTTTTCTTCAAGTTTAGTTCTTTTCACGCGGTTTTTTCACGCATTCGAAGGACTTTGTTTCTGTCCATCTAGAAAACGTCGCAAAGCTTACTTCATTGATGGTGGCAGAAATTCTGATAAGCTAAGTGCGTTTTCCATAGCTCTTTATTGGTGTTATTGAGCAACCGTTTCTTTCACGCTTCAAGTCATCTTGCACAGAATTCTGAGCAGAACAAAGCTAAGAGCGTCGCCAAAACAGAAAGTACGAAGGGCGAAGGGTAAAGACTCAAAGGACACAACAAAGCAATTCAGCTTAATAAGAATAAAACTCATATAGTTTTCTTGTTTCTGTCTTGTCACCACATCCTGGACATGGCTTTCTTGAAACAATCACAAAGAAGAAAATAATTCCCTGTATCTCCGGTGCTGTGAATTGCCTTATCATGGGGTGAAAATGTGCAATGCGAAATGCTGCTGAATGAAAGACTTCAAACGCAAGTATTTTTATCCAGCTATTGAGAGTTTTCGTTTTTGCTCTTTGTTTTCTATCTTCTTCTGTTCTATGCTTTTCTATGGTCTGATTTTCCATAGACAACCTTTCTTTTTAGAGTTGGGGGGAGGGGGGGGGGGATAAATATTCAAACAAGCTTCGCTGAGGCCTATCTTTAGAGTATCAAAGGTATGGCCAAGCCACCGCCAAAGGTGGAAACTAATAATGCCAATGGAATTCCTAGACCTTATTGGAATAGTTCCATTAACAAACCACGATTTTCCCTTTACAACTAGAATGCGTGTACCGCCAAAGTCGAGACCATCAGGTCCTGCCTTGATTCTGCGTCACTGACCTTGGCGAGCTCTGCATTCACTCCTCAATGTACAAAGTGAGATTGTATATACGTGCTCTCCAACGTGCCATTTGGGATCAGCTCCAAGAATAAGTAACGTTGTGAAAAGGTGATCGAGTTGCTCAAACATCGTCTTCGAGGCTGACGAAGTCGGGAAATAATGTGATAGCGGTGGGGAAATAGTGGAGATTCAGTCTGCCATAAATCGCTTCTGGAGAAGAGAACAAGTCGAAAGGCTCCATACTCCAAGATTTTTAGCCCGTACGCATGAAGGTCTCTACCTCGAGAGAAGACCCCGTCGTGAGCGTCCCGGTTGTGAATGGGCCACAGCCGGTTCTGCGCTTTCATTATTGGAGACTCTCTTCCCTCGCCGCAGGGGTTTTCCATACAATCCCTAGATCGTCCATCCCATGATCCTACTACTTCTTATGGTCAGAATGATCAGCTTCTACTCAATTCCAGTCGAAACCATCCATAATTTAGGGACACAGGAGGTTGAATCCAAACGATGTAGATGACTGAGGCCTGATGAAATGCCATTCCCACTTCACCAGAGCACAATCACCACATCCGAATGGATAATGCACCAAGGGGGAAAGGACTGAATCACTCCCACAAAAACACCATAACTCACCAACATTATTTACTCAAATCCTCAGGTAAATGAATTTTCAAAAATCGAATCAATAACAGTACAAGGTGTCGAGGGAATAAGACGACTAACGGCGTTGCAATGACATCGAAGATAAGATTCATGTACGCTAGATGACACTTTATGCGGTGACAGAACACGCCAATCGGTGAGCCAGCAAAGTCGAAAAAAAGATCTGCTTGTCACCTTATCGGATCCTGTATCACATACAAACCATAGTACATTGCACTTAGTAGGCAAGTCTTATTGGAAAGATGGTTCTTTTGACACCAAAACATAAATGTTGGATGGTACTGAACAGCTGATGCGAAAAATTTTCTTACAACGTTCTGCTTTTTTCACCAAATTTATGTGTTTGTTCAGCATTGATCGACTGATCTAGAAATCACATCTCTTCAGGATTTAGACACTTGACCATTAGTGTTTGCTATTTCGCTGCTGAAAACTGGAATGGGGCTATAAGTTTTTGGACGTCTTATGTGAGGTTTGATTGTTTTGTCCCCTCCAATATTCAAAGCCGCGATCAGACCGCACTTTACCAGAGATATGGAGTCAGTGTACCGTCTTAAAGGCAGCGTACACCCAAAAGTTGAGTTACCCAGTTCTCTTTACCATATATATACTAGCTGGCTTACCCGGCTCCGCCGTATCCGGACCAAACTTGGCACACATACACTTCGGGCCCTGGCGGGTGTCACAGTCCACTTTTCGTTATCGATCGATGTCGATTTTACCGATTTTTATCGATTTTTTTGCAGAGTTCACCTACAGGGCTAGGAGTTGGCACAGGGGGGTAATCGAGCATGGGGATTCCGAATACAATATTAGTTTTCAGAATTATCGATTACTTTTATTGGTTTTATCGATTTTTTTGTAAATTTTGACATGCGAGGCTGGGATTTTGCACAGGGGGTAATCGAGCATGCTGATTACGAACACAATATTAGTTTTCAGGATCGTCCATTACTTTTATCGATTTTATCGATTTTTTGAAAATTTGAGCTAGGGGGCTGGAATTTGGCACAGGGGTGTAATCGAGCATGCTGATCACCCCCCTTGGGAGTGATCAGCATGCTCGATTACCCCCCTGTGCCAACTCCCAGCCTCCTAGCTCAAACTTTGCAAAAAAATCGATAAAATCGATAAAAGTAATCGATAATCCCGAAAACCAATATTGTATTCGGAATCCCCATGCTCGATTACCCCCCTGTGCGAACTCCCAGCCCCGTAGCTCAAACTTTGCAAAAAAATCGATAAAATCGATAAAAGTAATCGATAATCCTGAAAACCAATATTGTATTCGGAATCCCCATGCTCGATTACCCCCCTGTGCCAACTCCCAGCCCCGTAGGTGAACTCAGCAAAAAAATCGATAAAAATCGATAAAATCGATATCGATCGATGACGAAAAGTAGCCTATGACACCCGCCGGGGCCCGAAGTGTATGTGTGCCAAGTTTGGTCCCGATCGGTTCAGAAATGGAATTTTCTATTCGGAACATACGTACACACATACATACAGACAGACATACAGACAAACAGACATTCAGCTTTATATATAAGATACGGGACGCAGAAGAAGACCAACTGCATTGGTCCGGTCTCTCAATGTTGATTCTGAGCGGAGAAAACCCGCCTGATTTTTCCTTCACTCCGCCTCTTTCGGGCGAATCCACGACAGCGTAAGCTGCAGTTGCAGTTGCAGTTGCTGTTGCAATGTTGTGCAACTGCAACAACAGTTGCAACAGTGCGGTTGCTTTTGCGGTCCGTCTCCTTCAGACGACGAATCCACGACGGCATACGCTGCAGTTGCAGCTGCTCCTCGCTGGCATGCCGACGGGTCGACCAATTCGAAACTCGCCTCCGTTTGAAGAGAGGGTCCCCGGGAATCGAAGTTTTTTGGGACTTTTGGAGGATTTAAATGTTATTGTAATCAGGGGCCGGAAAGGCCCCAGAATGACAAAAACATCGAAGATGAAATTTGAGTATACGCTGCCTTTAAGTGGTAGCTTCAGGAATTGCAACTGAGAGTCCCCCCCCCCCCCTCCACCACAAAAATTTGTCTGAGCTAGTCCGGGCTACGGAGTCAACAATTTCTGACCAGCCTCCGCTCAAGAATCCCTGTTACTCAGATCTGCCTACAGGATATACCACCCACCATCGGACGCAGGGATCTACGAATTGAGGCAGCGCGCGTGCGCCGAGTGCGGCGAAAATAGCAATCGAGCGCAGAAGCTGGACCTCTACTCAGGCATTCGCTCCCTTTCCGTTTGAGGGTCTTGTCTAAACTAGGTAGGACCCTACTCAGATAATTGTTGGGGGCAGGCGGCCATGCGATTTATGGGCGGCGGGCACCGGAAAAATAGTTCGCTGATTTCTTGCGGTCCGCTTGCAGATATTTGGAAGAATTTTAGCGAAATTCTAGATGAAAGCTTGGAGAACAATCGCGGTTTTCTTATAGATTAGCTGCGGCGCAGTGGCCGCATTCTCGCAGACTTCCCGCGAGAATATGCAAGATTTTCGAGGGCCGCACGGTCCTTTGCGGAGGACCGCGCAGCCCTCGGGTACTTTCCGCTGAGAGAAAGTACCTCAAACTTGAGTAATTAAACCAACGGTGACACCTCTGCCACACAGAGTCTTACCAGTGCTCGACGTATGCCCGAAACTCCGTAAAAAGAGTCCGAGCGCCTGCTGAAATTATGGCCAGCGTTTGCTGAAAGAGATTATTTGACAAGCGCCTGCAGAAAATTCTGTGTTGCTGCCCACTGGCAGAACATTAGACAGTAAAGGAAGTACCGCTCGCTGAAAGTTTGGCCACGCCCCAAAATCCTGCTGACCGCTTGCAGAAAAGCGCGAGTTTGCAAACCGCCTGCCCCCGGCGATTATCTGAGTAGCGGCCCGTATCAGCTCATGGGATCCCGCACCGAGGCTGGGTGGTATAGTCTGACCCAATCGGGATCAGGCCGAAAATTGGACTGAATTGCGCGCTCGCAGCGCTAGGAGTTCGCGCCGCATATGCGCACTGTCGAAGAGAACGGAGAGAGTGAAGAGAGGACAGATAAGCAGGCGGAAGGTGTGACGCAAACCCTAGCGTCGCGGAATCCCACCATGCCAATTTTGACCTAGGATTTAAGCAGACTGTATAGATACTGTCCTGATCCTAATCTCAGAGGTATAGTCAAAACGCAAAAAGTCGACAACATCTTTATTCAATATTCCTGAGCAAGTCTAGGATTGAAGGTTACGGAGTTTCTGCAGGTAAAACTTGTCAATCAAACTTGACTGATATCCACCACGCTTCGCCGATTTCTTCGTTGTGACTTCGTCTGCGAGGGAGCAGTGAACGACGAGAATCAGTAACATCTAGAAGTGATTGAGAAGCGGTAAATGGCAAAAAACATGGTAAAGCATACCGCAAATATAAATCTCCACATCATTATGTCCTCTTCGAGCTTTGTGGTAGATGATCACCTGCAAGTCAAAACTTTTACCAAGTGTCTTGAAAACGTTGCTAAATTTAGGTAAAAAGTTATATACGGGATCAGCTAAGGCGACGAAAAAAGCGTCATCGGAACCGTCTCGTTCTCCGCTCCTCTTAGAAAATATGTAGTTAAACTGTGTTGCTTTGCATGTAGTACTTGATGGAGGATGGTGCGGACGATTTCAAGATGTTTACAGGTTCTTAAATTAAACAGCTGGGCGTGATCGTGAATATCGGTGAGGATGCGGCCATTGCTCGCGCATTAAAGGCAGTGTCCGGACAAGTGGGGTTTTCGTATTTCAGTGCCATGCGAAGGTGAGCTCCCTCGGAGACATTGTGCAAGCGCGAGGCAATAACGATTAACCACAACCAAAAAATATGATTGAAAAGCTGGGAAACTAACGCTCTGTGTGCGAGGTTTTCCACCTGTTTGAGTTCCTGCACTGCGGCAGAGTACGCATGCCGCCACAGATGAAGGCGTAGGGTCCCGCGGCAGTCTGCATCTCAGTCAGCAATAGTGGACCGTCCTATTTCAAATCGTAAGACTTAGGAAAACATGTTCTCACAGTTTCCGCACGTTCTAGTGTGAATTTTCAGATAAAGCGGTGCGGATTAACTCCAAGCATGCGAATTTTCTAGAAATCGCATTTCTGTCAGGCCAATGCCTTCAAGCTCTTTCATCTTTCTGTCTCCTGTCAAACGCTTTTTTGCTGTCAGATGTTAGTTTTCAATCATCTGAAGCGGTTTCGGAAAATACGGGGTTGTTCAGCTGAATGAAAAAATAATTTGTTCCGGAAAAGAGCTGTCTTGCATAATACAAACAAAGTTGCTTTGTTTTTTCCTTGTTGTTAAAGGCGAGCTGTGCCTCCTCTTTGTCAGTTTTAGTATCAATGAGTTTTGTGCTTGAACAAAAAGTTATATGAGAGTGAAGAAAAGATCGTTCTAATGATAATAAACTTTTTTGGCAAACAAGTCAATATTATAAAAAAATCAAATCAAAATTTGTCAACGTAGAGTGCCAGGAAGAAGCATCATAATACTGAAATCATGACGCTGACACCGTTATCATCGCCTTAGATATGAATTATTCATCAAACATGGGATTTTATGAGATGTAACTATGTGAAATAATTCTAATGGGCCGCCTCTTACTTTCTACATTCCTGACGGCATATTCTGTTTGGTACAGAAAGCAAACAAAAAGGGTAAAGCGATCGCTACTGGGCGTTCTGGTTGGGATCGGTCCTAAATTAGGAAGGTATGCATCCGCATTGCTAGAATTTTGCGGCAAATTTGCGAGCTGAAAATTTCGCGAGAATGGGTTTGATTTTTTGAAAATTGCACACATGGGTTATAGAAATGCGTGTTTATTTTTGTAAACCTTAAAACAATTGTAATAAAAATAATTTTTGAAAATTTTTAAAAATTCAAATTAGCCTTGTAGAAAAATTTTTTCGGGGTTTCTTTTTCCAGAATTTAGGGATTGGGGACCCGCAAAAATTTTGAGAAGCACCCCAAAAATTTTTTCGGAGTGCGTGGCTAACGCCACGCACCTTTATCGAAAAAAAATTTTTGTTGCGCCCCCTCCCCGGTCCGAACCTGGGACCGACACTGTGTATAGCATATAGAATTTTATGGAATCGCTATGGAATCTTTTGGACTGTTCTTGTGCGTACGGTCTGGAATCAGGCAAACGAGCGAATTCAGAGAGGTTGCTCGCCACAAGTATTGGGCAACGCGATTTGTTTTGCCAGATCCATAGATTCTTGCGTGCTGGAAAGACCGCTTTTGTCGTTTTGAACATATTTACAACTACTGCCCTCTTGATGCTCTAAAGATGCACAGAGCTAAAATGCACCAGGACATTTTTGCTGCTAGGCTTGCAAAACCATTTTGTTCTACATCCGTAAGATACGTAAAACTGCACATTGAGAATGCGCAGCTAATTTCCGCTGGGAGTCTCTCGTGAAACTTGATGTTCGGAGACTGGCTGTTTGAGAGATTAAAGCAAAAGTCTATTTTATACTGGATGGGCCGACAACGTCGACAACAACAAAAGTTTATGTAATATGGTTTCCGTGTGGTTTCCGAGCAAGTAAAGAGGTTTCAGTTTTTGACAGCAAGGATTGCTACGCTAGGTGCTAACCTTTGCCCCTTGACTAACCCTCTTACTTGTCTGTAATACCGCCCAGTCAAGCAGAAAACATAGCAGTTTAAGCATTTACCAAGGAGCGTCATTATCCTATTGTTAGTGAAGCCGTACATGTGTAAAGCTCCTTGATATTCGGTCAAAAGCTCGGGTACCTGCATAGCAGCCTCATTCAAAACACTGGGGTAGAGTGACGTGGCATCAAAGTAATCCATCACAAAAGTGCTGCTGAGCTGCGCGTTACTGAGATGTTCAAGGAAAGTTATAGTGTTTGGGAAATGTGCAGATGCGGAACGTGCTGGGTGAGTACGAAGTTTAGCAGGCAGGATATCCTATTGTTCGGACCCCCAAAACTACTTATAATGGGTCTTACTTCGAAGCCTGTCATATTGCTGAAAAAAAGCGACGTCGAGTTTGTGTGTCTTGATAAACACGTAAAGAACTGGTCATTTAGGGACTTCTTTCAAACGCGACATGAGCTTTGGGAAGGCTAGGAGATTTGGCAGCGTCCATCCACCCCTCTTCAACTTACAGCACTGTTTGTTCATTCGGTCTGACAAGAGGCAAAGTTTTTAAAATAAGAATCACAAAAATTCGTATTTTCCAACACATCGTCACCTATCTCAGGTGATCTTCTTTGTCATCAAGGCTTTACCTATCAAAGTTCTCATAAAAAGTGATGGATTCGCTGGTTACAGTGGGGTTCCTTTTGGGAGCGAACAGTATCCGTTCCAAGAGTATGTGGTCGATTATTACGTGGGCTTCAACTACTCTATAAGTCCAAACTTCACATAAATTGTTGGTAAATATTATCATCTCAGTTTCTGACACACAGCTACAAAAAATTGAAACGACCTACCGGCAAGTGAGGGACAGACTGTTCCATCGAATCCTCTTTAATAGTTGGTGAGAGTAAGCAAAAAAGGCAAGAACCCGTTCCTTCATCGAAGAATCGAAACGATGACTAAATATGCTTAATCGAGCGTGAAACTTTGATGACCTGCTGATTAACGATCATGATCACTCTTCCAAGCAAAGGCGACGAATTCGTTGCGATGATTTGCGTTTAAGAAAGCGTTTACATAATTAAGGGATTACTCAAATTGCAATGCGGTACAATATAGTTGGACCTCAACTGTATTACGCCCAGCTTTAAAAGACTTTTGTACCAAAAGGTAGAAGCAGAATGCCTTTGCTCATCAACGTTGTGCGCTGAAGAAAACAGACGAAGTCTCTTTTATATCTTCTAATGTAGATGAGGTCGAAAACGTCAGAGTTAAGTTACGTAGCCATAAACAAGAAAGCAAAAGTGAGCCATACTGGTCCAACCTAGAAGCTTCCTAACCTCCACGTGTGTGGAAAAATGCTTAAAAGGTAAGAAGAGTAATGCGGACCTCTTTGCAAGAATTGGATTCGACAAGAAGAGAAGGAACTCAAGATATAGAACTGGAAGCTAATTCCTTCGTCCGCACCCCTACAGAACAATTTTCTCTTTTAATTGTGTTTTGTGGACAAATGGCATCAGCTGTGCTGGGTCTTGCATCCACTCAACAGGTTCAATTGAATATTCAGGTAGAACCTATTTTCGAACTCTGAATTCACAGAATGTCTTTATTGAACTACTAATCGTTTTCAACTGCTCTCTCTCTTCAGCTTCTGACTTTGAAACATCGAACGGATGCAACAAAACACTTCTTCAAATCCCCGTAATTTCCATAATATTACGCCAATTTGCTTTTACTACTTCTCTATTTGCCTGGATCAAACACTCTTCCTGGAGTTCATCTTAACTCTATGCTTCATCCGAATATCCGGTTGCAAAACATTCTCCCCGGCCGGGAATTGAACCCGCGTCTCGCATGTGACAGACGCGGATACTCACCACTATACTACCGAGGATACAACAAATAGGCGCTTATTTGCATATTTGACTCATAGTTCATGGAGCGGTAACAAGTATCCTAATTTCACAAGTACAAAACGCACTTTTTTCACTTTTCAAGCAAGCAGCTCGGCTGCACCACTGTACCTCACAAAATGATTGCTTCCCACACAATCCTTGCAGGTTTGGAGCAGCACGTTAGAGGATCCTTTAGACACGAAATTTTACGGTGTGCTCGGACTGGTCGCATTCACAAAGAAATTGGGTGCGTCTTGTACTAGGGTGGTAACACTGGCATTTGACGTTCACTATTTATCTCCCCATGCTTGGTGCTGTTGCTTACTACAATGTGTTTTATGAATATCATTCCTGTTCGTAACGGGCCTTTGATATCAATCGATCTTTAGTTCGCAGCATTCCTGCTAGCTCGCTGTCATTTCAATGAGCTTGATGAAATAGAAGACTTTGCTGCAAGAAAACAGGAAGAATGTGGCGAATCGGTGGCCCGCATCTAGATTTAGGCGCGAAGCCAAAGCCCGCCCGCTTAGTAGATGCAATATTTAGCCTACTACTTTGCCCTAGCGCACGATAAGAGAAGCGTTTGATTACTATTTGTTTATCCTAATAATACAAAGAGATACTGTTACCAGCGAAAAAATGCGCTTCCTAACTTATAAGGAAAGCTACCTAAATTAGCTCAGGCATTTGGCAAAGGACACATATGATCCGAATATCTTTGAACACTGATTCCAAATATGCTATTCCTAGCTGCCTAGCATCATTCCGAAGCGACTTATAGGCTTTTTCCTGCGCGAATTTGGCATACTACTGGACATGGTAAGACTGCCTGTAGATAAAATCCGCAAGAAGGAGGTGATGAGATGTTGAAATAACACAAATCCAATTTTTCTCACTAAAAATAAGCTTAATGCAAGTGTATTAGCACTTTGGTATAATGCCGTGATGACAGTGAGTCGATGAGTATGC